AACCTTCTTTCGGTCTCATTCTTTATGTACTGACCACCTTTTCAGTGAAGAAATTTTTTCTAATATCTAATCTAAATCTTCCCTGGTGCAACTTGAGGCTGTTTCTTCTTGTCCTGTCACTTATTACCTGGGAGAAGAGACCAACCCCCACCTGGCCACAACCTCTTTTCAGGTAGTTGTAGAGAATGATAAGGTTCCTCCAAGCTTTCTTTTCTCCAGGCTAAACACCCCCATCTCCCTCAGCCACTCCTCACAGGACTTGTGCTCTAGATCCTTCACCAGCTCCACTGCCCTTCTTCAGACATGTTCCTGCACCTCAACATCCTTCTTGAAGTGTAGGACCCAAAACTGAACACAGTAATTGCTTTTTTAATTACTTCATATCAAATCCTATCCTATTTTTCCATTGCAGGACCATGAAGCAAATAGTAATGATGAAAGTAAGTATTCTGTATTGAAAACATGGCGATATGAGAAGGATTAATATGCCACTGGTGATCTAATATCACTTGCAGTGTAGTGTGTCAGTGTATATTTTATCTGTACCAGTCAGCAATAAGCAAGAAGAGTAACTGAACTGTTTTCTAGGATTACCAGAGTGAAAACAGATTAAGACAAAAGTAAACCACTGGAATTTTTTACTTTTATTACATTAACACTAAAATGGAAGTGAGGAAAATGCAGTTTGGATCCAGCTAACAATGTATCCTAAACATATTGCTTGGATCACTAGATCAGAGCTTCAATTCCACACAAGAATCCAGATTTCCCACTGGAGCAGCTCCATCTCCATTACCAAGGGGCCTGTGAGTAAAAATAATAAAACTACTTCTTTGATGGGGGTGGGTTTCATAGTTGTATGAGGAGCTGACATCTATCCTTGCCTATGGCAATTGGAATTCAGGAATCATTTTTAATGTTGCTGGTGAAAGATATCCTGATTAGGTAAAGGCAAGCTATCATTTTATTTCTGGAGGAATACTCTTTGTATGCCAGTGGTGTTGCCCACTGATGGCAGATGCTGGCTGACTTGCTTCATTTAGTCCCATACTGCAGCACTAGCACATTCAAGCCTGTTAAGTGCAGAAAGTTCTGTTTTTCATTAAAGTTCTTCTGCCCCACCCAAGTTGTCATCTTAAGTATTGGCCAGAGCGTAGCTTCCTTGCATAAGTACCTTTCCAAAGTACCCACATTACATCTGATACCCTTGGTCTTGTTTATTTCCAACTGCTACAGCTATCAGCTGCATCCCATCTTAGCCAGAAATATCTTGGGAATCAATGAAGCTGATCACAGAATCAGTTAGGTTGGAAGGGACCACAGTGAGTCATCTGGTCCAACCTGCTCAAAGAGTCGTGGCTAAATGAAGTCATTTATCTGCTAAGTAACCATACTTTCTTTTTTCCCTTTCCTCTGATCTTCAGCAAGAAAACTTCTAATTTGGGAAACTCACCAGTAAGTTGACTTGCAATTGCATAATTGAACAATAATTTTATTAAATTTGTAATTTATTGTAAAACTTAATTTTATATCATATATCATAGGGGCTAGAATGGACCTTAGAGATCATCCAGTGCCAATCCCCTGCCCTGGGCAGGGACACCTCCCACCAGAACAGGTTGCTCAAGGCTTTAGCCAACCTGAGGTTGGGGCAGCCACTACCTCTCTGGACAGCCTGTGCCAGTGTCTCGCCACCCTCACAGTAAAAAAACCTTTTCCTAATATTTAACCTAGATTTCCCTTCCTTCAATTTGTACTCATTGACCCTTGTCCTATCCTATCACTCCCTAACAAGGAGTCCCTCTGTAGCTTACCTGGAGCCCCTTCAGATCCTGGCAGGTTGCTCTGAGGTCTCCACAAAACCTTCTCTTCTCCAGGCTGAACAGCCCCAACTTCTTCAGCCTGTTGTAATAAGTTTGGGTACAACACAAAGGAATAAAAAGACTAAGGGAAGGAGAGTTATAAATAAGGGAAATATTTGGGTGCCATTATATGAACTAAGAGCAGTGAAAAAGCTCAAGCAGAAAAATATTTTGATGAAAGGGATGTTCATATTCAGTACTCTAGGATGGAACAATAAACACAGTGCAAGAACTGAATAACTGAGAAATAAATGGGAACACAGAAGTACTCCCAGAAATATACAGAGCTGCCTATGGGGAACATGAGCTCATTGTAAGAATGATAGCACAAGGCATGTGCAGGATTTTACCAGAATTTCTCAGAGGTTTTTTAGTATTTCATCAGTAGAAGAATATCCCTAAACTTCTTGTGAGAGGAAGTGAGGGAACTGGTTCAAATTTTCAAAGAAATTAATTTGAAAAATATTTCAAAACTGGCAGTGTATTATCATTGTTCCAAAAGGGAACAGTTCTGAGAACTGGAAGGTTGGTTGAGTTTTTACTGTGAGCTAAACTGACAGTTTAACTTTCAGTATGAAGAAATGTGTGAGACATTTGTAAGCATAGCTCAATAAAGGTGAAAAACAAATTTTGGCTTATTTGAGATAAATGCCTCATTTTTGGGCTTGAGATAAGAATGAACCATTTGTTAGACCATAAACTTACTAATGAAAGTTAAAAGAAAAAGAAAAAAGCATGGATCTCTAGACTTTGCTTTTTGTCTACATATTTATATCCACAAACTGGGCTTCTTTCCAAATCTACTTTGCAAAATCCCAAGCTTCAAGGTCATACAATTAGAGGCATTTCACAGAATGGCCATGTCTCTGCCTCCTAATTCCTGTAGGATGTTGTAAATTCTAAATATAAACTAGTTCACAAAAAGTATAAGAATTATTTGCTGTACAAGTGACATCCAATTTTATATTTAGTGTCCTGTTCTATTGCAGAAACCATGTTTACCTTCCAAAGAGAACTTAACTGTAAATGAAGGTAAGTTATCTCCACTACAGTGAATAAGTTGACATTTATCAGAATGAAATTTCCTTTTGATTAAAAACGTGAAACAAACACCACCATATTCATCTTATTCTAGGTTTTTGAGGGGTGTTTGGCTTTAGCAGTTTCAAGCTGGTCAGCCTCAGTTGCACTGAATATCATTGTTCTCTAAAAGCAGTCACAGTAAAACTACTGAGGTTCCTGGTGGGGCAGTGTAGGACAATAACGGCCCAGCAATGTGCCATAGAGCCCTGTAAGTGGAGAAGAGGGAAAGGAGGCAATGGGCAGGCACATCATTCTGAGCTGAGCCAGAAGAGGTTGACTCCTGGCAAGAGCCAGTCCCTCACACAGGCAGAAAACTCGTCCTGCCTCTGTGTGAGGCAGCAGCTCCTCCAGGCAAAAGCTCAGCAGGAGCTGCTGTCTAACCCAAGGGTAAGATGCAGCCACCAGCCCAGCCCTTGCAGACAGCTTGCCCTAGGTCCTCCCCGTGGCACACAGCTCTCCTCTCAGCTGGCAAGTCTCCCACTGAGCCCTGCAGGCAATCACAGTGCAGCCCTTCGCCTAGCAATGTGCTGGCATGCCACTAGTTAACACAGAAAGCAGCACGATGGCAAGTTGCCATGTAAGGAAAACCCCAAAATTTATAGTAAAAGGAACCTCCCTTCAACTACTGTGACTCTTATCTGGGACAACATATTTCTGAAGAAATCTTGACTCTAGCTTTTGTGTTCCCAAACTACAGAGAGACCTACAGCAGCAGAACGACGAAGAGGTTCCAGTCAAGAGCTTCCACTCCCACCCCTGCCAAGTGGTGCCCAGAAGTAAGATATCTTTCCATCACCCTTTGAATATTTCAATGCACCAGCACCTCCTGCTCAGCCTGAACACAGCTCTGAGAGGTTCAAAGGGGAGCACTGTTTCCACTGTAGCCTTCTGTTGCTATTTGAGTCATGTTCCCTGAAGCCTCACAGTAGCAAAAAATTAAAGCATGGCAAATGAATGCATCCAAATGCTATAACCATCACCAAAAACCATGGGAGGATATAATCTCTAATAAGGTGATAGAGATTTAAACCACATATTTAAATTCCTAGTTGTCAGTATTAGTGGGATATCATTTCTTAAAATACCTGTATCAGACCCTTATTTCTCAACAGACAAATGGGTGAGATGCTTCAAATACACAACTTGCATATTTTCAGATCTTTCTGTAATCTCTTGATATTTATTTCAGGCCTCTGCTCCAAAAGCCCTCGATTCTACCAAGTAAGTATAATTCAGTCTTTGAATTAAAATGTGATTAACTTGTAATTTCAAATTAATCTTTGAATTAAGATTATTTTAAAATGCCATGCATATTAATTAGTTTGGAATTAATGTATCTGTAATGCATAAAAAGAGGAGATCAAGTATCCAGGGTCTTAGCTCAGCTATTAAGGGAAGTATGTCAAGTTTTTTGATGGAAATTGTGTGCTTCATTTCCGTTTATGACTACTGGAAATTCCTACTAAAGACAGTTTGGGTCATTTTCCATTATAATAAAGATTCTATCAACCTTCCTTGCCACAGAAGAATCCTAAATATGACATTTCTGGGCTGTTACAGGCTTCTGTTGCCTAGAAGACAGACAGGTTATTATTGCATCCAATTTATTCTTTCTCACAGAAGAGAAAAAAAAACCAGGTTATTTTTATAATGGTAAATGCTAAAGCTCTTCTATAAGTAATTCTTTCCAAGAGGGACTTTGTTTCAGTTCACAGTTACAAACAAATTAGTAATATGTATATGAACTCTCTTTGCACAGAAGTGTAAATTAGATGTAACATTTTTCTAGTCTCTTGTCAGCAGACACTTGTCTGACCTTCCTACAAACCCTTTTCTGCGCATATTCAATCTGAGCATATCTTTTACCCTGTAAATAGATGGTGAGAATTGCACCTAGAAATCTACATTTGGTGTAGTTTAAATTTACATGCTGTTATTAGTGCATCTATTTCCTGGAAACCTTTGCTTGATGTATGTTGCAATTATATCTCCCGTGCTGAGGAAGTGTAATAATGGTTCACGTTGATGCCACTGACTGATGCTCCCAAATCTGTCTGCTCCTGTCACACAACTCGTGTGCTTCACCTTGAAGCATAAATTCTTACTATTTGCTGAAGTGCAACTATTCTTCGAGGTCATCTGGTGCTAAATGATGTTCTGATTAGTAAACTTTCTTTAACATAATCTTCTTCTGTGCCAGGTCCAGTAACAACTTAATCACACATACAACTGGTCCCGATTATTAATGTCCCTTTAGCATAACCTGCCACCTCTGCTTTGTCCCTAGGCAAGCCTAGAGCTAACTTTTATCTTCTCCATTAAAAGTACTAATTTCCCATATGGCACATTATCAAATGCTCCACTGAAGTCCAGATTAAGTATATTACCATATTCCCTCTTTGTAGAACTCTGTTATTTTATGAAATGTTTTATCTACTAGGGTAGGTTTCAGATTTTCTCTAGCTGGTTGTACCTTTACCTCCAAATCTTAATGTTCTTCAAATTGTCTCCTAGGGTCTTGTGTTGTATGTAGTCAGACCAAAAGGCCTGTAGTTGCTCTGGTCAATTTTTCCACTTTAGTTATAACAATTATGTTTTGTCTTCTTTAATGATATGGTACCACCCTAACTTGAAAACTATTTAAAGTAACTGTTACCACTCCTGAATTTCATGTGCCAGTTTTTAGAATTGCTAGGATAAAGATTATGCAGACCCACAAGTTCAACTGTACTAAGTTATTTGAGCTTTGCTTTCAATTTGGTTGTGGAAATTTCCATTTCTGCACCAGAACTACTATTGTTTAGTATCATAGTATGTTAAGGGATTGGAATGGACCTTAGAGATCATCCAGTGCCAACCCCCTGCCCTGGGCAGGGACACCTCCCACCAGAACAGGTTGCTCAAGGCTTTAGCCAACCTGGCTGTGAACACCCCCAGGGTTGGGGCAGCCACAGCCTCCCTGGGCAACCTGTGCCAGTGTCTCACCACCCTCACAGGAAAACTTCTTCCTAATATCTAATCTAAATTTCCCCTATTTCAATTTGTACCCATTGCTCCTTGTCCTATCACTGCAGTTCTTAACCCAGAGTCCTTCTCCAGCTTCCCTGGAGCCCCTTCAGATCCTGTAAGGTTGCTATGAGGTCCCCACACAACCTTCTCTTCTCCAGGCTGAACAGCCCCAACTTTCTCAGCCTGTCATTAATCTGCTACCTAGATCACCCTTAAAAATCCATTAAATCCTTACTCCATAAAGCCTCATCTCTTTTTCCTTTTTTACACAGCTAAGGAATATTTTACTACTTATTTTAATGTCCTTTTGTAAAGCCTAATTCAGCCTGACTTCTGGCAGTTCTTACTTTATTTCTACAATCTGTTTTTTCAGCTGTAGCTTTGTAGCTGGTCAATCAGAATTTTACAGAAAAAAAAAAAACCCAAATTCTTAACATGGAATAGCCCTCTTCAGGTGATTATTAGTTCATTGAGAGCTCGATCTGCTCCTTACAGTGTCTCCTCACTACTTGGAATGCAGCTTCCAGACAGCCACATCTTTACCACAAAAGAAGTTCTAAAACTACATCACACAGATGTCTTTGAGTTCTCCAGTCCAAATGGTGGAGTCACCATGCCTGAAGTGTTTAAAAGGATATGGTGCTGACGGATATGGTTTAGGGGTTACAGCAGTGACAGGTTAACAGTTGGACTTTTTATGATCTTAGAGGTCTCCTCCAGCCTTGATGATTCTACGAATTGAATTTTTTAATTCTGGTCACTCTATGGCCTCCTCTAGAACATTCTTACTGCTTTTTAAACCAAAATCTAAACTAGTATTAGTGAAGATTTGATAGTGCAGTCTTCAGATCATCATGTTCAGGAAATAAAACTTCCCATAATAACAAAATAAGTAACACCTAATTTTCTACAATCATTTTCTCTAGTATCATGATCTGCACCCAACTCTGCTCACAAGTAACTGTAGCAGACACCTATACTCTTGGACCAAGATTCTGTTTTACCAGAAAACAGTTATCTATCTACACTTATTTCCCATATTTCTATCATTCCATTATTGTGCAACACTAGTCAACCATTTCACTTCTGATTTCTTACTCTTTGACATTTGTACTTCAGCCCTAATGACTCTTTTCTACTATGCTTTGTTATTACAATCTAATTAAGCTTCATAATCTTTCCTACTAGCTCTGCTTCTCGATTTAGTTGCCTGCACCTCTTGCACATGCATACAAACAATTCAGTTGGACTAATTCTAGCTTTGGCTATTAACCAAGTTCTTAACCAAGCAGTTTCTTTCTTCATAAGCAAAACTCCTCTTCTGGGCAGCCAAGTGTCCCAGAGCTTTTATAGGGCCCATCCATTTATCTTTCCTGAGGGATACAGAAGGTCAAGCATTTCCAGGTCTTCCAAAGTCCTTGTAATAAATCAGTTTCTTATATCATGACAAATACACTTTGAAAACTTATACTTGTTGTTCTTTCTCTCTTCTAGAAGTGCCAGAAGTTCCAAACCGTTCTCTGGGTACTTCCCCTCACAGCAGCACTTCATCTGTTCCGAGTTTTGCAGACCAGGTACAACACTTGATATTACAGAAGCTAATTCATATTACAGACATCTTTTTGTCCTTTACTTGAAAAGAGTATTTCCACCCCTTTCACAATGAAAATGACACTCCTTTTGTGGAGGGCATCTATGTTCTGTTTTGCAGTGAAGATGTTCTGTAGCACAAATTATCTGAATTTTAACTTTCATTTAAAAATGTTTTGAAATATATAGCATAGGAGAGCTTTAACAAACTGTAGGAAAGTACGTAGATAACATTATACCAAACCTTGGCACTTTACCAGCCACTTCAAACAGAACTCAAAATAGCTCCTTAGTGTCATGTCTTCCTGACTCCCCAGTTCATGCTTTCATACATAGTGATGGACATAAGTCTAATCTTTGATAGAGATGGCTATAAAGAGCTTTTAATTGCCTCTTTTTTTCTAACTTATATCTACTACACATACTGTGCACTGAACAAATAGAATGTGCACCAAGCAGACACGATGATGCTGAGATGCCTCTCCCCATGTGTTTTAGTTTCTGCCATCCTACTCCTTTCTGTTCCTTTAAACAGATCTCTTCTCATTACACTTAATGCTGTCAGTTTTATGGCCAATTCTTTTATGTGCTCTGTTGCAACACAAGGCTTTGAATAATCTAAGCAAATGCAAAGTTATTTTCATTTCAGTGCTATTCTCCTTCCTCTCATGTTGGATGAAGGGAGACCACAAAATGCAGAAAGCCATTCTTATTAGCCTAGTAGTCACAAACAAGGTAAAAATAGTTCTGTTGAGTGTAAAACAAAGGTTCTATCATGCAGAGCCAGGAACATTAAATGTTATAAATTCTGACATGACAAAGATAATACAACAGTGAAGAACACAAAGGATTTGAAGTTCTGGAAAAATTTTAACTGCATGTCATACTGGATATTTATTCTAAAAATTACTTTCAAATAAACAATCCAGCAGACTCTAAATAAACAGCTTGTAGCAATTACATTTGCAGTTTTTATGTAACAGCCATGGGCAAAAACAGAGCTTAATAAAATATCCATTTTGTTTTTAAAAAATAATAGATTTAACTTTTCATGTTATTTTCTCACTAATTATGTTCAGTGGTATCATTTGCTGTAGCATCCTGCACAACAGGGGTGCTGGCAGATGTCATTAATGTCCAAGAGGTTCATTATTTGTTTGGTTCCCATCCAAACTTTGGCAGCAGCTCTCTGCTTCCTCTTTATAGGCCATAGATAGTGGTAGAAGAAAGGTCTATGGGCAGTTGATTCCTTGTTCTGTTGAACAAAGATTTGTTTACTGGGCTCATTCTCTACATGGCTGAGTCCTTTGCATACTTGTAATTCCTCTCATCCTTTCTTTTTCCAATGAATAGTGTAACTGGAGAAATACATGACAGAACTTTGGAGGTCAAGTTAAATATTGTGGCTTAAGCCAGTCTAAGAATTTAGTGCAATGCCTCCAAAATTGAGGCTCTGCTTTCTCCTCACTGTTAACTTCCCTGGACCCAAACACAGGCTCCTCTGGTGTTCCTTTCTGATCCTGCAGTGGGCTAAGTCAACTCATCAAACTGACAGAAAACCATCCTGGCACTCAAACACAAAACAAGGCAAAATAAAAAAAGGAAACAGATTTTTTTTTTTGCTGCAAGATTAATAAAGTGAATTATCTCACCATGGGATCAGATGAGCAACAAAATGAGCACAAAGGAGAAGCCAAGACATTCCCTTTTTGGCAGCAATAAGCCAGCTAGACCAGCTCAGCCATAATGTGCAACTTCATCTTCAATCTGTTTTGTACAGAGGTGACAAAGCTTGTGTGAAAATTAATTTTATCTTTAAGCTTGTTACTGTAAAGTTGGAGCAAAACTGTTCAAATAACCAGAAAGGTTAATATCCAGATGTATGCATTAGGAAATACTCCCAGTGCTATTTCTGTAGCCTTTCCACTCACTTAAGAGTTAGATTTTACATCAACCTCTTCAGCAAAAGGTAACTTTTTTGACTGCTGGTTTTATAACCTGCTTGTAAATCTTCTAGCTATTGAAGTCTGATCATGCATAGGTCTCATATTGCTTCTAATACCTCATCCTAATACCAGCTCAAGGTACCAACTTCCTTGAGTACCATTTCTTTTGGGACTTCTCTAAGATCCCCTGTACTTTTCCCCTAAATTCCACTGCTCTTTCATCCTGCATCATCTTATTACCCAGGTTTCTACCACTTCTCCTCTTACTCACATTATCAGCTTGTACCATTCACTCCCAACTGCTATCACCTCCTCACATCTTTTTAGCTTTGCACTTCCTTCGCTATGAGAGCTTCTATCTTCTAAAGTAGAATCCACATCTATAGAGTGTCATTTTTCCTACCTTGTATCTTCAAGTCTGCACCTATGCCCACATCCACGTAGTCCTTTTTCCCACTGGAAGAGCAGGTTAAATTCACTTAGCAGAATGGAGAGGAGGAGGATAATCTTGGTGAGGTGGTTACAGGGAGTAACATACAGAAATGAGGCACCCAAGAAATGCATTATAACATATAAGCCACTCTTGTATTCAGCCACAGATATAATCCTTCTCCACAGTAAGCATGGGATTGTGCCTTTTAGATAAGAGCACTGTTTTCAAATGTAAGGATATATTCAGACTTAACCCAACAGAGAACCAGATCTGAATCCATGTCTCAGGTGAAAGCACTGCATGAATTGCTGCATTATTAGAGGAAAGACATTAATTATTACTTGGTTTTGTAAGGACTCCATTCAGTTGTCCTTATTTAATAACAACAAAAAGAGCAAAAGATGCACTTATCTAACCTCTCTGCTAGCCAGGTGGAGACAAGCATGATAGTGTTTACAGTATACAGGAAACTTCATTCCCAAAGCTTAGATGCTTACAAATCTGAACACCTCATTGGTTAGCCCACAGCTGAGCAGCATTTAAATTGTTAATGGTCTATTTATTCTTCAACATTTCCTGGATACCCTCTTTAGACTCTACTAGAATAGCTTCATTCTTTTAAAATACCAAACTATCCTCTAGTTGAACCTGACTGCTTTCCCCAGGGTATCTCTCTTTTGTCATTTATTGGCCTTCTATCACACATCTGTTACCACTGTTTTGACACTCCAGTTTTCCTTTGTCCTACCTCTACCCAACAAAAACAGTGAACTCCCGGCAAAGACTTTGTAGACTCTGTGTTTTCTAAAGTGTTCTGCAATATAGTTCTTCCCAGCTGTCATTATTTAGTAGTAAGTCCCCAACAGGCCATATTCTTTATTATTATCATTATTTTTTTACAGGTAAAATACTGTTTCTCTCTTTCTAGGATGCTGGTGTTCACAGTAAAGCATGGTATGCTGCTACCTGTGATAGGAAAATGGCAGAAGATGCATTGTACCGATCAAACAGGGTAGGGCACTTTCAAAGAATGTCTATTTCATGAACAAAAACTACAAGTGAAAAAAAAAATCAAGACAACAGAAATATTCTAAGAACATCAGTCGTACTCTGAACAGGTCAGAATACTGTGCCATGCAAGCACTGTCAAACTGTGCTGTGGTGAAACTATTTAACTATGGTTTCCACCCCAAGGCAAAGTTGCATTAGTGTAACTCAAAAAACCAGAGCACTGCAGAGAAAGCTATTACAGACTAGAGAGCTGAGGAAGATCTGATAACTCACAGGCATCTGTTAAAAAGAAGGCAATCCCTGTGACTTTTAAGTGATCTCCACCACTGTCCAATGGCTCATGTGCCAACAGCTAGTTTGGAAAGGCTGATGCTGCTACTCATTGTGCATGTAGGTATTTGGAGAATTTGGGTTCTCTCAACTATTACCTTACAAAAGGTAATGTCACAGGAGGGAATAGCAACACGTAGAGTTGCATCCTCAGCATATTTCCACTCTTGCCTAACTCCACAAAGCAGGATAAAGGGGCAGAGCACAGGGGTTATCACCAAGGGTAGACTACTGCTAGCTAGTAAGCATGGGGTTACAGTGTCTGCAGTGCAGGTGCTTGATTTTGAGAGTGGTTTTTACAGCTCTGGAGAAACAGCATCTCCACTTCTCACTTCTCCTGCCACTGATCGTAACTTTATTTCCTAACAATCCATGGACCCCAACAGATAGCTGCCACTGTGTATCCATTTCTTCTTTTTCTCTCTGGTTGAGAAGAGAAAAGGCAGCAGCAAAAGGTAATTCTTAAATGACACCTTTGGTAGGCTTTGTTAGCCGGCAGGAATACATGCTACTTCACATCTCCTGCTGTACAGGTTTTCTAATGGGAGAAAAGGTTTTAATGCAAATATAAATCAAAATATTAAGGTAAAACTAAAAAGTTGTTGGGGAAAAAATTAGACAACTATACTTACTAGTTTTCTCTCTTTAGGATGGATCTTTTCTAATAAGAAAGAGCTCTGGCCAGGACTCACGACAGCCATACACACTGGTGGTGTTTTACAACAGAAGAGTATACAACATTCCTATACGATTCATTGAATCAACAAGACAATATGCACTGGGCAGAGAAAAAAGTGGTGAAGAGGTGAGATGATGTGGGGGTGTTTTTCCTAACAGTTTTCAGTTATATACCTTTAATAAGCAAGGATTAAGATCTATTGCACTATGATCAAGTAGATTCTTCATGTATCAAGATAAAAGTATACCCTTTATACTGACTGATCTGTCAAGCTAGAGAAACTAATGTGGTGACAGCTCCTGCACACTGTAATTAAAACCACAGATGAAGTATAAAACATACTCATGTAACTGTTTGGAAAAAAGTTAACAGAGCTGCAGCTGCTAAATAAATTTTCCAACCGTTTATAGTCCTCTATTTACCTTCTGTCTAAGATTCTAGTTAAGTTACTTGGAAAATCATAAAGAAAAAACAGCCAAAACCAAACCAAACCAAAACCCCTCAACACTCTATCAAAAAAGAGAATGACATTACTTTTCATACTGTTTTCACATAAAGAAAATGTTAAACTCTAGTTCTCAGTGAAAAAAAATCACTGGTTGGCTGTTATATCACACAGATAATTACTCTGACAGCAAAATAAAAAACTGGAACCCAGTTTGGTGAGGTTAATGATTGGACTTGATGATCTTAGAGGTCTCCTCCAACTTTGATGATTCTATGATTCTAAATACCAATAAAAACAGTGTTATCACTGCACAGAATAGGCTTTTCAGTAATGTGAAAGTCAGCATGTTTTAGCCTAATTATGTGCCTCCCAGGCAACAATTTTGAGATTACAGAATAAATAATAGCCTGGAGCTCATCTGGCCTTCAACAAAGGGTCAAAAACTATCTCAGTATAAATGAAGATAATCCAAAATCTGTATTTGACCAAAGACCAAAAGGAAAAGCAACAGACTTAGCAGATTCTGGGTATTAACTTATAGTGACAAACTGCAAGCTAGAACTTACATAGGACTGCATAGCTAGAACAGTTTTCACTGATGGCTGTCTGTACCATATCACTCCTGGAGACAGCCTTCTCTCTGAGGTGGCTGAACCACATCTGTCACAGCTTCCAAGCTGCCAGTCTGCAGCCTGGTATGCATTAAGGGAAAAGAAAGCAGTCAGTTTACTGTGGCACATAACAACCTCTGGTTCAGCTGTGTAGGTGGCAATCATAAATGGAAAGGATGAGACAACTAATGGCCATAGTATCTTCCATTGTACACATTTAATCTGTTTATGACTAGAATCAGAACTAAGAGCAGATCATTGCTCTTACTAAAAGGCAGAGCAGCTCACTTGGTAACAGTCATAGCTCTACTCTCTTCAATGATGTGAGAAGCAAAGATAAAAAGCTGCAGTGATTACTTGTCAATATCAGAACCTTAAGGAAGGCAGCACTAATTCATTTTTGTTTCCTTTCTCCAGCGCTTTGACAGTGTTGCAGAAATAGTGGAGAATCACCAGCGCACCTCCCTGGTCCTCATTGACAGCCAGAACAACACAAAAGACTCAACAAAACTGAAACACATTGTCAGAGTTTCTTAAACAAATTGAACTGCTAAATTGAAGACTTCTTCAATAATTTCTTTCCGCATCCCAAGACATGGACCAGGGATTAAAAGAAGAAAATCTAAAATGATGGAAAATACTCCTTAAGAACACGTACTGAGTAGTAAGAGATGCAGTTCACAGAGTTCAAACCCACATCACTTTTATCAGAAAAGTGTTCACATTCAACACAAAGAAGCCAAAGAATATACACTTTGTGATTTCCATCTGCAACAACACAGGTATCCAAAGCCACGTGAAGAACAACTGCATATGAGGGCCTGGTCCTTTGACTGATATTTAAATATAGATTTCCTGTAGGACATTTTCATTTTAAAAATGAGAATACCCACAGTGATCTACTCTTTCAGTTTGTCACATTTGCCACAGATCACTGCTTTCAGCAATTTCTTTGTAAAGTGCACAGCCCCAGAAGTTAGAGCAACTCGACCTCATGTACCACTATGCACCAGTTGAAAATAGGACTGTACAGTATGTGATTAGTGACAATAAAGCTGCCTGAATGTTTTAGATTAATGGACATGTATTATCCTTTCCCTCAGCTTTACCCCATTTCATTACTATTTTTGTTTGTATTTTCAAATGTGCAGATAAAATTAAAAATACTGTAAAGTCAATAGTGTATGGAGGCATTGCTGGATCACCTTCCTTGGCATCCTTCCAGCAAGAAAGCATCAATTCACTAGTTTTGATATTTTAATGTATATATTTGTATGTGCTCCTTCACAAGCTGTTATGAAAACTCTCACGTTTTACAGCTTTGGCATATATATATATATATTTGGCTTAATGGCTTTCAAATCTTTTGTCTTCAGATTGCCTAGTGTTGGTGGCTCAAGCACATTGGTTCATTGTTAAACTAATTACACATTCAGTTCTTACAGAATTACTGTGGACGCACACATGCACACAAAAAAACCCCACTTGCTGTTTTCAGGACTGTTCTATCACTTGGTTTCCTTACTGTATTATTGTGAACAAAGTACATTCCACAAATGTTAGAGTGGTGAAAATTAATTTGATGAATGTACAAATTGCATCAATGAAAACCTTCTAGGAACAGTTGTTAATTAGTTCTAGAGGTGTTTGATTTCACTGGAACTGAAACCCATCTGTGTTAAAGGTATTGTCCAAAACTGACACTTTATACACCCCTGATTTGTGCTTTTTTCCCAGATTAGATGGTGTTCTCCAGGATTTAAGGCAAGATCAAGTCAAGACTAGCAAAATCTCACCAAATCACTTACAACCACATTGTAACTGTATTCTGCAACTACCTTCTTGTGCTTTCCATCAGTTATTTCTACAGGTAATGCACCTGTCTCCTAGAAAGAACTGTATGCTGATATTATGTTTATGGCACATGGCTACCTACCTTGCAGCATCTCAGTTTCTTTCCTCTGCAGCACAGGTAATACTTTTAGCCCAGATGTGTTGCTAATAAGCCACTGGCAAGTAAAAACCAATGTAGAGAGACTTTACACAAAGCTGCCTATGGCACTTCACTGCACTACATAAACACTGTGTTTAGTATATTGCTCAGCTGGCACTAATTAGTATTTTATCAATACTATGCTTAATACTAGTGTCATGTTTAGAAAACTGAGAATGCCAAGTCAAGGCCTCAAAATTAAGAGAAGTTACTGGTGTCTGCAAGCTTAATTTACTCCTCTGTGTTGTACTCTTATGTTATTTAGCTACTTTAAGCTTCACTTTAGAAGCTATTTCAAGCAATACTCACAATGGGAAGTGCTCTGTGAAAAAGCAACCACTCAATATTTAACTTCCCTTGCATCCATGTAGAGTCTTTGCCTGTTCACTCATGTACTGCACAGTATTTTAACTTTGTACTAGCAAAACAGCTAACCTTTCTATGCTGCTCCTCACAAGTCTCTAGGGTTCTTCAATTATTGCTTTCCAAGTGTGTAGTATCACCATCATTCTAGAACTGGGGAGGGAGTGTGAAAAAGTGGAACCCTAGTGTACATACAGACTTCCAAATGAGAGACTAAGTATCACTTTTTTAAGTAATTAGCACTACTGAGCATTTTAAAGCACTGCTGTTCCTGCCCCTCATCTCTAAATGCTCAGCACTCCATGGAACATCATGGCTTGACCTACAAATAACAAATCTGCTCTAGAGAAACATGCAGTTACTTTCATCCTCACATCCTTTTCTTCTTAACCATGTTCTACCTTCTAGTTTTGACAACAGAACGAGGCAGAGATTTGATAGGCAACATCACCTTCCACAAAATAATCCATTCAGCCTGAGACTAGAACATCCCGGGCACAAAACAAGGCTCCACCATGGGGGGAAAAACAAACACACCAGTATGTGATCACCTATTTTACTATACTCAGTGTTGTATACAGGAAGAAAGGAAGCAAACTAGTTACTCTTCTTTACATGCCCAAGATGCTTTATAGCTTGGCAGGACTGTGGTATAGATGTATTTTGAAACACAGGTTTAGCTGGAGAATAGAAACGTTCAGTCAAGTTTCAGGTACAGGATTGCACCAAGTTACCATTTCCTGGATTCTGGGCATAATATAAGTTGATTCTCAGGATGAAGCCTGCAATGTTAAAAGTTCTGATGCTATGGGTTCACCAGCCATTACAGAATGTAGGAATTGGTGACTTGGTGCAGCTGTTGCAGTGCCAGCAGCTGCCACTACTTAATGTCGTCATGTGTTTGCACCAAGTAGCAGCTATGTCAAGTCTGACCTGAGACAGTCATAGCAACACACCTCTCCCCTCATATTTCTTTGATATTGTTAGCTAATTTCTCTTCCATATAATTGGCATTAACTGAATACCTAAAAGAACCAAAAACACAAGCTAAAACTAGAACTAAAAAATAGGCTTTAAAGTGATTTTCTTTGTCTGAGAACTCAGGGCAAAGTATCACATTTAATAATGCACGAAGGAGAAGTGTTGTCTGCCTACCTGATAAGATCACAATGAGTCCTGCACATCACTCCTGACAATTTTGCTCCATGAAAGGAGTAAGAACTTGCATTCTCAAAAATCCAAGTGTTCCCACACAAAACTTACAAAATTACATTCCTCATTCAATCTAAACCACCAGCAGCAGACAGAGATTCCTAGGAAGTGTAAAAAACCCATGTCTCACATGACAACAGCTCTGTAACAAATACTGAACACAAGTTTCTTGTTAAAACATTGGAATTACTGAAGCAATACTTTGCAACCGTTACTTACTGATGAATAAACATCTTGCCAAGAGTATATAATGACCTAGATTTTCAGGCCTTTTCAAGGACTAACACAAATACTGTACAAAGTGTTGATGATCCTGTGCTTGCACCTATTGCTCTATGTCCCAAAACACTATAGCCAATTTAAGGTTTGCTTATCTTGCTCTATGTGCAATGTTACAAGCTATCTTAAAACGTGATAGTTGCAAAGTCAAGCACTCAAAGTCAAGACTCTTCAAATCAGGTTACTTGTGCAACCTTAATTTGCCATAGCAGATATCTCCCTTACAGTATGAGCATTAAATATAAGATTACTGAATATTTTTCCATATAGATTTATATATTTCATGTGGTTCACAAAATACTTCAGGGATAAATTTTAGCTGTGTAATGAAAGACTGTGGTTTGAGGGTATTTTTAAGGTACCTTTCCCATTTATTGAGTATGCTGAGAGATACACCAACATTGCAGGAGTCAGCCAGTAAAAGGGCAGCTTCATACTGTTAAAGCAGTTCGATATTTCATTGGAGAACTCAATATATTGTCACTGCAGCTTTTTCTGCACCATCCACTGTGATGCTGGTCAGATCCCTTAAGCCAAATTTTCTCCTGATGGTCTAATTGTGATCTTAATTTCAGTGAAGTCTCACTTGAAATTCTTTGAAATCTGATCTGCCTAAGTGCCAAACATTTAGGACCTCAAAGCACTATGGAAAAGATTGTAACAAAAGAATGGTATGTTCAGAACAGTACTTGAGCAGTGTGCACTAAATAATACAAGAACATAATTAAGGGTGGAGAAACAAACTATGAAATCACTGCTCAGGAGGGAGCAACAATTCTCTGCACTAAATGAGATGGATGTCTGTAGATAAAGTGACACATGACACATGAGTTAAGATTGCATAAAGCAACCTTATTTCAGCATTTCCTAGCTTTACAATGTTCTTTTTCACAATATCATTTAACATTACTCAAGTCATAGGAAAGCAAACTAGAGGGAAAAAAATTCCACTGAAAGTTGTCACTCTGACAACAAAGAGAAAACCCCCAAATTCTACAGAACTTCCACCTTAATGCTAAGCAACTGTTAGTAAAAATTAGTCATCCTTGAAGTTGTGCCAGGTGAGTTTAGCAACAAACTTCACAGATATTTTTGCCAAAGAAGGCAAAGGCAATGTCCAAAATTCACAGATTTATAGGAGAGCTGAGGCAGACAATAGATCCTTCCAGGCAAAAATCTTCACACATCTTTGATCTTTCTCAATGCTGTTTCTTTCCAACTGTTCCTCACCACTACACTAAGTCTTCTTTGACATTCCTAGCTAAACTAACGTCAGAGCTCAATCCCATTGTGCAGCACAAAATGATCCAACTTTGATACAGAGCACATGCCAACTGTATAATTCACCCAAGCTATGCTGTCTTGACTGCTTCAGGTGCTTGAGTTGACTCCCATACATAACTCATCAGCTGGTGTGCATCTTCCTGTCAACAAAGAAAGAAAGAAAAGCATATCTAACCACTGAAGTAATATTTAAATCATTTTAACACTTTTTAAAACCTAAGTCAGATTCTGTTAGTGGTGACATTCGGTGACATCCATGAAAGACTTCCAATTGTTTCACTGGTGGCAAGTCAGTCTTCATTTTCGCCTTATGGAAATAGTCACAGAAAACTACCCTGAGCTTGCATACAAGTTAAAACCACAGAGATTTAAATGCCTCAGTCCTCACCAAGCCCAGTGTACAATTTTGACTGCTCTTCCATCAATACTTTGGGAAGCTGACTTATACACCTAAAATGTAATCTTCCAGTACTTGAGCAAAAAGTGCCATATGGTAAGGGCACTTCCACTAATGACTGCATCTTCTAGACTCCATTAAGAATCTGGAGGACAAAGGCTCTACACATAGTAATTACTGTGGATAATAAGGACCTTCATCTGTATACTCTCAGTCATTATGGGTAAGTCTTTTGTTTACATACCCTCACATGAACATTAAGAAATGTGAAGCATATTCTCTCTTCATCATTATCCATAAAACTGTAAGCAGGAAGCAGCAGGCTCCTAGGAACATTACACTACTGGCTGGCAAAATGAGGGAGAAGTAACTCAAGCCTTGGTTTTGCCAAACCCCTGTGCCCCTAAAAGGCAATACATCTGAATAAGCAAGGGGAGAAAATATTAAGTCATTATGGGAACAAATTCCACCCACCTGGAATACAACTATAATGCAGTTACAGGCCTGATATGGTGCTTTGCACTCCCTCATAGCCTGACCTTCCTCTAGGGTGTGTGGCAGATGCAGCAAGACAGAAACATTTTCTAGAAATCCTCAGTCATATTCTATAAACACCAGTTATAACAAATTTAATAGTGACAAAGTCAATACAGATTAGGAATGTTCACCATTCTTAAACATCATATACATTATGAATATATATACTGTATATTTCCAATCAATTCCGTTCTCAGACTCACCACATTAACACAATTGTAACAGGTTTTATTAATTTATATGAAAAATACTTCACTAAGAAAGTAGACAAACTGCACAGAAATAGTACAAGTGTCAGGTGCATAGCAATATAGCTTAAAGCATTCACATATGGCTTTATTTAACTGAAACTGTTGGGGGAATGGCCCTCCACGGACCTATGGTTACACAGTTGACATCATGTAAACTGCTTCACATCTTTGAGGCACTTGCTAACAATAGTGTTCAATCCCTGAAAAACAAAATCAAGAGCTAACAAGTGAAAGATAACAAAAATTCCCAGGATAACAGCTGTGTGTATTTGAAAAGATTTTAAAAATTGGTTTTAGTAGTGCATGCACAGAACTGAAAAATGGGGGGTGGGAAGGGGTAATTTCTGTGCAAGATTTATACAAAGTAACTGAAGAGTATAAAAATATTTACAGGTTTAGGGATCTTTAAATATATACAGAACAAAAGCCCTGAAGACTCATTCTATAGAATAAAAATATAGCACGATAGTAGTAACAAAAAATAATATGTATTTTTATGGAATTGTATGAGCAGTTAGTTACAAGTTACTGAAACCACAAAGCTCCTTGGATCTTTCTCAGACCTAATGGCAATAGGGAAGATGCTCTTTCTTTTAAAACACAAGTACTTTACATCATTTTTAAACTTCAGTTACAATACTGAGATACAAAATAACTTGTGTATCCTAATTCAATCCATTTTTTCAAAACTTTTAATGCATATTTAAGTTTTATTTTCTTCGCTGGTCATCATTCCATCAGTGAGTTCCAGTCTCGAGTTGCCTCCATCAGATGCCTCTGTCCATGTCCTACCCAATTATCCTGATTGTCAAATATTCTACCACAAAACCAGCAGCTAAACTTAGCTTTCAAGGTATTATTAGAGGTAGTTTTCACAATCTGGTAATTGTTTTTGCTAGTCTTTTTCAGTGTCAATTTTAAGACAAACCTTTCTTTCACAGGGTTAATGGGTTTTATTGTCCTGTACCTCCTTTGAGAAAAATCATCAGTAGTTACATCCGAAGGATTGCAGAAGGTTGGCTGCAGAAGGGCTTCAATAGTTCTTTTTGACAATGAAACCTTAAGAACATGTCCCTTAAATTTATAAACGGTTTTCATCACATTTACAACTTCTGGAACATCTGCATCAGGATGGTTAAGCACAACAACTGGTTGATTTCTCCGAGGGCATTTTACAAGCTGATTGGAACTAAAAGGAAGTAATTTCAAAGTTCTCACAGTTTTTTTTGATGCCCTTGGTTTGTAAGGGCTACCTGATTCACTAACAACTTCAGCTCGATTCTTTTCCTTACACCTTTTGTGCAACATTACCTTCTTTCTTGGAGGTTCTGGGCAACTCGACTTCCTTTTCCGTTTTAATTTCTTCTTTCTTTGCAGACTCACAGTCACTGAACTTTTCGACCCAGTTTGTTTTAAATTAGGTTTTACATTTGTAGTTTGGTTTTGGGTACTCCACGTGGACTTCTGACAACTAAAGTTATTCCTGTTGTTAGCAGTTATTACTTGCATACTCTCAACAGAACCTTTTTGCAACTGTGTCCCTGCAGATTTAGTAGAATAACCAGATTCTACAGGAGGAACACAGTATGCTGGATTAGAGTTTGCCGAAGAGGCATTTGCTGGCATTAACCCACCTGGTAAGATTAAGGCATCATTAAAAGTAAGATTAGTCTGTTTCTGTGCTAGTGCAGGAGTAACGGACTGCAAGTTATGCACCTGTAGTGAGGGCACTGAGTTGCTTGCTGACTGAGTAGTACCAGCCAGTGTGTCTGAAGTAGGAGTCTTAATTCTCAGCAAAAGCTGTTGTTGCATGGCTCCAGTTTTCTTTGGTTGACAATTTTGATAATTAGCATTATCCTGATAAAAACTTGGTTTATGAACTACAGGCTTGTTTGGTGTCACATACCTCAGAAAAACTCCCTGTTGTCCATCAGGCAAAAGTGCATAAACACGTTGTTCCTGTTTCATTTCCTGTTGCTTTACTGACTCCAGAGAACCAAGCACAGCATCCTGGTGCTGTGGTAACACCTTCATAGAAGAGATTCCTCTCACAGAAGACTCTGATGAGTTTGTAATTACCAGAGGCCCTTTGAATGCCCTGCTATTCAATGAGTCATTTGCTGTACTACAGGATTCCCTATTACAGGAACTTGCTATGTTCCTGGAGCTGCAATTTTTCCCCTTCACTTCTGAAGCTGATACATTTATTTTACCAAATTCTCTGGATGCAATTCCCCCTAAAACCTGAGAACTATCATTGGCATTTGCAAGTGTTCCAATTGCCCCATTCAAAGTCAAAATCATTCCAGATCCTTTATTTGAAACAAAAGATGCAGGTACACCCTTAGTCACATGCCCATCTGACGAACTGGTTTCAGGAAAACCTCTTCCATCAACCACCTGTGGTCCAGGCTGCAAAGGAACGAAAAATCCTGATGGAGGGGACTGAATGAAAAGGGTTTTCTTCTGTTCCTGAAGAACAGGCAAAACTGGTGAAAAGCTGCTGGGGTTTTGAGCTGGCGACAGTACTTCATTTTTCACTAACTGCTGTGTTATGACTGCACCTGTAAGAGTTTTTCGCAAGGTACCAACACCCGGAGTGACAGATAACTTGTCTGTGTCCTTGGATTCAACTGCTGTTCTGGGTGTCTCTCTTTCTCTACCACAATGTGTACCTTCATCTGTGCTACATCTTGTGTTCAACTCTCTCTCACATAAATGAAAGTCTACATTAGGAGGAGGCCTCTGAAACCCACGTGCAGTCGCAGAGCTTTTTAAATGCATGAAGGCTGTGTTCCCAGTCTCAGGACCAGAAAGCAACTTGTCAGAGTGAAGCTTTACACAGTTATTTGTCCTGCTGTGGGACTCTTGCTGAGTAGTTTTTTTCACTTCTAACACATCTTGCTGGCATAGTTCAGGTAATAAATAATGAGCTGCCTCTTCACTTTGCAAGGAGAAAACAGATGTGATTTTAGGCATTAAGAACGATTGACCAGAATCATTTTCTTGGAATTCCTCGGCTACATTCCGAAAGCCTTGATCTAGGTTATTAGTGTCCAAATACTGCTGGCCATTCTGCTGGCCCTCCATGCGACACTGGCTGTCAACATCACATTTAGATTGGCTTTTAAAAGACACAAAGTTATTCTTATCGTTTATGTGTTTGTAAGTTTTATTAATATTTGGTTGGGCTGACACAACATTCTCTGCTTTTAAGCCTTTCATTGACTCTGAACATGAAGATGCAGATTCACCTCTATTGTTTTGAAAAGAAACTGTTTTGCTCAATCTAAAATCTTTGTGTCTGTCATCTGTTGACATCCAAATGCGACATGGATTATCCAAACTGTTCATTTTGGAATAGTTGTGAAAAGACAACAACTTTTCATTAGGAGAATCCACTGAAGTTGAATAATAGAGATGATCAGTTCTATTACTATTATTCAGGCCACCATTTTGGATTTTCAGTTCAGGAAAGAAGGGCATTTTCACAGGGCCATAATGAAGAGGATTTGTAATAGAGGGTGGTAATACCTGAGGATGACTTGAAGGATTATGGCTTCCCCATGAGTGAGTTCCAACTTCTGTTACTCTGTCATGTGGAGTCACAGTTGAGCCCATCTTCACTAGCGAATAACTTGAACTTTTTCCAACAGCTATATTAGAAGGTGCTACATTTTCAGGAACACTCCTACCATACAGTAGGGAGTTATATGGTTTGTCCACTTTTGTTTTTCCTGAACAAGGAGCAGAGGAAGAAAATGGAGGGGAGGTCAATGGGTGAACAGAATTGTTCTTTAAAGTTGCCTGATCAGTTACATGTGGTATAGCACCTGAAGACAAGCCACAGGGATCAGCAGTCTGTAGCAAAGGAGTTGTAGAACCATCTTTGATGGGATCAGCTTTCTGACCCAACAAATATTCATTTTGCTTATTTGTAGGCATTATTTTTATAACAATATGTTGTTTTCCATCTACCATTTTAAATCCCATAAATTTAGCACTGTAATTTGCTGGAACAGATATTTTGTTGTTTTTAACCACAAATACTGTTGGCCCATGAACAGTGTTTTTCAATAATCCCAAGCCACAACTTGTTCCATCATCTTGAGCCTTGCTGTACTGTGCAGGAGCAGCAGAGAGCTTTCCACCCATGAAATTATGGTTCTCTCTGATTTTAATCTGATCTTTTTCTTGTGCTTCCACATCTCTCATACACTGGTTCCGCTCCTCAGCATATGTCTGATTTTTTTTATTCGCACTTCTTAGCACTTGTGCATTTTCTTCTCCAGTTTTGCCACTTCCACTGCTTACTTTTTTCTGTCTCCAGTGCGGTTTTTTGGATGCTCCCACTGGATACCTTCTTACCACAAGCTTCAGTCCTGCTGGAGTCTTCACTATTCTTTCCTCATATTTAACCTCTTCCAGTTTTTCTTTTGCAATTAAGTGGTCTCTGTGCAAAGCTATGACGTGTTTTAACAGATAATCTTTCTGTGATGTGCTGTAACTGCAGTACTGACAATCAAAAGCAAACATACCACTATGAACAAGAAGATGATTTTGGAGTTCCTCTTCTGTAAAGTTTTCTTGATGGCATTTTCCACATTTGTAGGGAACCTCATTATGTCTGCGAATATGCTGAACAAACGTGCCCACATCACGGGTAGAAAACCCACATTTCTCACACTGAAAGTGGCCATTCACACAATGCTTTGATGTGAAGTGTTTTAGCAAATCCAACAAAGCATATACCTGTTCATCATTACAGAGCTCACATTTTGCTAACGAGCTGCGATGGGTGTACCTATGCTGTTTCAGGGACTGAAAGTCATTAGCTGAGAAGTTGCACATCTCACAAGGATACAAAGGCAACTCGCCATAGTGTAACATCTGAAAGTGCTTCTCTAGGTCATTTGGGCTGTATCTAATGTTGTTCTTGCACTTGCTACAACAGAAATTCAGTACCTTGGCTCCAGTTTTCGACTCTTCTTCAAATTGCACTTCTGGTTTATTTTGCAAGTTGTTTCCCTCTGAGCAACCCGGATTGCTTCCGTTTATCTTCTCGAGAGTTATGGACTTCCTTGCAGTTTGCTGCTTACACTGAAAGAGTTTTCTAAACCTATCAACTTCATGTTTCATTAATACTTCATTTGGAATGTTCACCTTGGGTAACTCAATTTTCACATTCTTTAGTCCATAAGCGAGATTGACATCGACAATTGCTGGTAGAGTTATACTTAAAGGGTCGTTATTCACCACTGCTTTGTCCAAAGGAGTATCTGTAGAAAAATTCTTTGCAGCATTGTGTTCTAACAAACTAATTTGCTTCTCATCCCAGAAGAACTGCTCCTTTTCAGAGGGCATGATTTAGGAGTTTACTTTTCCTTATGCGAATTCTTGAGATTAGTCTTACTTCCTGCAGCAAATGAGGCTACTGTGCCAAGTTCTCCTCCAGGCTCTACAACTTCCCCATTTCATTCTCCTGAAATTGAAAAACAAAGCAAATATGACTTCCAAAACTCTGAAACACTCACTGCAATTCATTAACAAATACATGCCAATTTTGCAAGCTGTTGATTTTTAGAATAGCATTTGACCAAAAAAAGGGATGAGGTAAAAAAATAAGTGATTACAGTATAACCTTTGTTTGTTTTTGTTGGGGGGTTTGTTGTTATGGAGATTTTTGGCACAAAATATACATAAAACTTGAAAAATAAGTTCTAAAGAACAACACCTACTGAAAGATAAAAACATTTGAAATTTCATGCCATCAAATTTTGGGGTTGTCCCACCAGAGCACCCTACAAGCGAAAGAAAACCCAAGAGCTACTTCTTTTAAAATGCAGTTTGCATTTATTATTCACTTAGAATTTCAAGCAAATATAAACACTTGTCTGTGACATAGATCACTAACTGAACCCAACTCAAGTACTAAAAACAAGTCAGCAGGATTTGGTATTTTTATTACTCAAGTCTGCTACTCTATTAGTAACCAACTTAAAAAGAAAAGAAAGAAAAATCAGAATCTGACAAAAGATCTACTTCACTAATGGAGACATGACCTTTACCAACACCAAAAAACCCAGCACACTGATCTACAATGAATTTTTGACATGCCTACTGTTAGTACCACACCAGTCTGAAGCAGTCAACAGATAAAAGGTATCATTTTCTTCAACACATGCTCCTGGGTACAGGTTAACCTTTCAGAACAAGTGCATGACTGACAACAACACACCTCTATAAACTAAAAGGCTCCAATAGGTATGGTCAGCATCACTGTCTCACTACAAACTTTATGGCAGTGTTTCCATAATAAGCTGCACCAACAATTTATAGCAGCTCAAGTCTCTGCTTGAACAACACTCCCACATGTCAACATAGAACCAGCAGAGATGGAACAGCAGAAAAAATAAGTTAAATTCTGAAAAGCAACACTGTCAAGTATAACACTAGCATAATTCTTTTACTAACAACATTTTCCACAGTAGAAGTCACAGAGTCACTTTCATCTTTCCTAACAGAAGCTAGTAAAGTGTTAGCTGAAATCTGATCAGCAGTTCTCTCTCCACTACTCTTGTGCCCACCCTGACGCAACAGACTGGGAACTCCTTCTATCACCTTAATTATTCACACTCAAACTGAAAGAATGATTACATCCTCTCCCTCACTGTGATGAAGCGCAATGGCTGCTTCTAGAGCTCCAAGCCATCAGAAGCATCAGCACTAAGGTCTTCTAAATACTTTCCCATAGCCCTGTGAGAAGGAAGTATCTAGCATCAGAGGTGTAAATACCTGACAAAGAAAATGGCGACTGAAAAGTTTTCAAGTCCATGTTCATGTAGCATGAAAAGTAAAGCACCTTTTTTTCTAAGCATTTTTGCTTAGAAAAATGTTTTGTTGCATTCCTTTGTAAAAGATATTAGCATTTTTGCCCCAATTCTTGAAAATAATAAGCGAAACAGACTTCGACATTTTACAGACTACAATATCAAATAAATTCAATTGATTGTGCTCTCCAGCTGTGAGACCTGCGAGATTCCAACTATACATCTGACATTCAAAATCCCTTGGGAGTCCTTCCAAACAAAAACACTTCAGGTACAGGATTCTTATTTTCCTTTTAACCCAATGACACATTTCCCCTTTTGCACACAGGAGATGAATGCATGGGATATTACCTTATTCTGAGCCTTCGGAAGAAAACAACTCATGTGCATCACACTCCACCTGTCAGTGATAAATCCCTTATCTGAACAAGATCAAGCTGAACTCCCACATAAAGAATAAGCAACTAAAAATTATTTAGACTTGTTTGCCTTAAGAACTTTTTTAATACACAGATGCAACACAAAGATTACAGGCTGCATGATGCAATACATTATTATCCTGCTGGTAGCTGCCATCACTCAGATTAAAATGTTACACTGTCAAACACTGAAACCTGAAGTATGTTTACAACTACCACTATAAAAACCGTAAGTGGAAGCAGTACTGCAGAGAATAAGGCTCAGGCTTTTGACCAGGCCCAATGTGGTCCTCAACTGGGCAACATTTCACTCACTGGATAAAACATTTATGTTTGGCACAGTCACAGCTGGGTGTATTCAAAACCCATATAAGATCTCCTTTAATTAGCCTCATAAATTACAATTTAACTTTGTTATTATTGGGTAGCACACAACCATCAACAAGCACCAGCAGTATGACAAAAATGTTTACTAGAAACAACCAAGAATTAAACCAAAAAAATCCTAGAGCTCTTTAAGTGTACCTTGTCAAAGAAGAAGTCTGACTTACGCATTAAGGAAAGACTTGACTTCAGTCCTTCAACAGCTGCTTGTTTTCCACATGCACAGAAGAGGTAAATATGAAGGACTCAGAAAAGGCCACAGTCAGGAGAAATAATACAAAACGTTCTGGGGAAAAAAAAGGAAAGGTATTTTAAAAGGTGTAAATAAATGAAAGAATAAGCTGAAAAGCACAAATCCCTCATAATTTTACATTATGCGTGTTTTTAATGCATTGAAGACAAACATATGTACTATGTTCTCTCTCAAAGAACACCATCAAATACAAAGTAAATGCTAAATGAGTGGGATCAAAAAAGGCTATCAACTTCCTCCTAACAAAGCCTATTTTAACCTTAGTTTTGTCACTCCACCTCAGCCACTTATACCTGGTAAGCATAAACATATGGTAACTTAAAAACAAGATGGAAAGAAGTAACTGGTACCTCTGCCCTCTGGATTTTAACTTGAACTCAACAGGCTCTGATCTTTTCTTGAGCAAAAACTGTAATGAATTCTACAGCAAAGCACTAATTATAAGCCTCCATAAAGTTCTGCAAAAGCTTGGGAAGGAGGTGGAATATTACACTCACAGTATCTGAAGTGAGTAAGTGAATTTAAAAGCAGATATAATGAATGCAAACACAGAAAATACATAAGCATGAGCCACAGTTAACTCTCACTATATAAAAAAAAAAAGACCAAACCACTTAGCACAAGCATAAATAACCACTTGAGGCTCTAAGCTTCAATTTTCTTCCCCTGAAAACCCTCCAATATGTCAGCATTTTGCTTCAAGAAAGCACACACAAAGAAGTTTTAGCTATAGACTTTGATCCAGGGAGAAATGACAGACAGGAGTTAAGACATGGCTAAACTGGGTGACTTTGAGAGGGTTTCCATTTAAAACAAAAGGCAAAATACACATCCAGGCAAGAAGTATTTTCTGCAAAGAAATGTACACTCATTTAAACGTTACTAGGAAAAAAAAAAAAAACTGAATCTACACACCAGACCCATACACTAGACATATCCCCTACACCTATCCCACGCCTAGCCCCATCCCACGCGCTGGAGATTCAGAGCGGTGCCTCCCTCTCTACCAAGACCTGGACATGTGCAGGAACTTAAGACAACTAGATCTTAAGAAACCCAAAGAGCTGGAGGAGTCAGACACAACCTGACCCATCCCAGCGCTGCTTTTGTACAAATAAAACGACAATAAATCCCAAATGGAAACAAACCCCCGTGAAAGCAGATACCAAAGGGGAATAAACCCCCAATGGAAACAAGCCCCGAAACCCCCTC